AAGTTGCTACATTATGCACGATACTACCATCTACATGTTTGGGTCACAAAACCAGGCCCATACAGGGCTTCAGATTCGTTTTGGGCCCTTAGTAATCAGGGTTCTAGGTATAGTCAACCCTGATGCCTAAGGTAAAATTTTTGTTTCCCTGACAAATGCAGGGTAAAAAAACTGTAACACTGTTTGGCAAGGGTATTTTTTTTAGAGATTACTCTATAAATATTTCTGAGTTTTTAAATTCAAGGCTTAGTGGCTCAGCTGTTGTTTAGGGAATAGAGCCTGACAGGCGCAGGTTCAAATTTCGGTGAAGTGTTTTGGCAGGGGCCCGCACAGTGTTTCGTCTCGCCACGTAGCATTCGGTATCAGTATTACTGGGATTGTACACTGTACAGTCAGGGAAATATGTTCCTTAAGCTGTTTTTCAAAGGGTACAAAAAAACTTACACTTTCTGGCCTAGGGTAAAAAAATCCAGTACCCTGTCTGTGAACGGGTAACTGAAAAAAAGCGGCCGCCAGTCAGTGCAAAAAGGGTATTTTACCCTGATAACGAGAGCCCTGAGCCCATATTATACTTGCTGCACGCTTTGGCAGTAATGGGGCACAGGTTGTCGCGGCTGGTCGACCTTGTCATGCACAGCAAATCATGCTGCTCTCTCCATCCTTTTCTCCAGCTCCTTCACTTTCCGCTGCACAGCACAAATGGCACAGAGGAGCGGGTTAAAAGAGCTGCGCCAGGAACACGCAACCCTTCACCTTGCAGTAGGTGCAAACACAGATCATCTTGCACTGGTGCAAAGCTGTGGGCAGGCAGACAGACACCCGGCTTACCAGGAACTGTTTGGAGCGCCTGAATTCAGCGTCTGTGTCGGCCAGCCTCTCATATACCTCCAGGGCCTCCCTCACCCGCCCCAGCGCTGCCAGCGCCTCTCCTCTTCGAATCACTGCCTGAGGGTTTGGAGAATGAAGGTGATGGGGAAACAGGAGGGGGATAGGGAATAACAAGCAAGCTGAGGAGGATGGTGGCACAGGTGGGTGTCACAGGTGGGTGGCACAGGGGGTGGCACAGGTGGGTGGCACAGGTGGGTGACACAGGTGGGCGGCACAGGTGGGTGGCACAGGTGGGTGGCACAGGTGGGTGGCACAGGTGGGCGGCACAGGTGGGTGGCACAGGTGGGTGGCACAGGTGGGTGGCACAGGTGGGTGGCACAGGAGCCCTATTGCGTTCAGGCATGGGAAGAAGGGGTAAGGCAGGGCTTACCGAGGACCAACCAGGCTTGAGTGCTGCCGCAGCTTCAGCGTCTTCCAGTGCTCCCATTGGGTTACCACATGCCACCCTTGCGGCAGATCTTCAGTTGCATGGGGATACAGCACATGCAGTAGTACATTGCACAGGAAGGAATGCTCAGGCTCAATCATCTGGCACAGACAAGACACCACAAACCAGGAATATATATGAAAAGGGTCTACATTGCCGACAGGAGCCTTTCAGGCCAGCATTGCACTACTCACCTGTTGCAAAGCAGGTTGTGTATTCCCCCAACAGGCACCAATTCAATGGCCTGCGAGAGATGCGGCCGGGAGAGGCCAAACGCGGTGAGGAAGAAGAAGGGAGAACTAGCAGCATTGAAAGATAATCAGACACCCCTAGCTCCCTCCTCCTCACCCTCCTCCCCCACACCCCTTCCATCTCCCAGCGCACTCACCTGGGTGAAGAGCATCTCAGCCTCGTCCGCTCGTCCCTTCTCAAAAGCTGCATTGCCGCGACCCTTCAACTCCAGAGCTGCAAGATTCGTCTCCGCGCTGCCCCCGCGCACTGCCTCTCCAGCAGCCGTGCCGCGTGCGCCGCCGTGCTGCAGTGCCGGATGATCGTCTGCGACGGCAGCAGCACCAGATTGGGGCCTGCTCCGCACCGCCCTGTGATTGTAAGGAGGGGTCAGGAAGATAGAAGTGCCGGTCAATGTTGCCTGACCGTGCGTCATGACCAGCAAGAGCTCACAGTTTTACGCGAAGAACTGCCAAAAAATTGGAGAGAAGTGAGTGGTTTTGCTGCTTCATCTGCATCCAGACATCTCCTTCACGCCATACGTCATACGCCACGAAACGAACTGTCATCTCACCCAAGCATCCACACGAGTCAACATTCACGTGCGGCGGCGCGAGGCCGCGGAAGTGGTCCAGCGTCTGCAACCCGCCGTCCTTGCGACAGGTCTTCCCCACGCACACGTTGATCTCCGTCACTTCCGCTTCACTCGCCTGGTTATCTGCTGCTGCAGCGGCGCAGCTGCGACGGAGAGGACGCCTGGGTGTTGAAAGGTGGTTGTTTGCATGGCGGGAAAAAGCTGTTTGAAGTGCTATTTATCGGTTTATGTGAACGTAAGAATCGAGTTGAGGTCAGGGAGTGAAGCTGGGAAATGGCGACTTCGGACGTCGAGATAGTGAACATGGTGTTTCACGAGAGTGGGAAAATAATTCTCAAATGCAGACTCTAAACAGCCGCCATGGCAGAATGAGAATATACTTGGCGGGGTGGAGACCAGTGGGGAGAATGTCAAGGGGAGGCTCTCCGAACCGAATCGCCAGCTATGTTCACCTGACCAACAGGTGCTCCGAGTGGCTATTATTGGTCGAGAACACGTGGCCGCTGAGCACTGGCTTCGTTTCTGCTTGGGCAGGTTCACAAACTTCGAGTCAGAGGCTGACTCGGCTTGTCAAGAGCACCACGTAGGTCTGATTGGTTAACCCGAACCGAAGCTGTGAGCCACCTCCGTGGCTACCTGCAAAAAGCACTCACGTGAGCCGAGCCTCAACAGCAAAAATCCAGAAGCCTCGGGGCAGCTGCTGTTTGGCATGACTCTCTAGGGGGGGGATTTGCGAGGCACTGGCGTTTTGGCAGCGAAACGGTTACCCGAGTGTGCGTCGCAACTCCAGGGCAGAATGGGCTGAAATCATCTCAGCAGGGTTGATCACTGATGGCTCGCTGCCTGACATTTCTCTGACTATCGTGCAGTAAGTAAGTTCGACGCTCAAAATATCGTCCAGATACTTCACCACGCATTGTGGATTAGGACAAGGAAACTCATCACCATTGTGCTCCGTCGGCGTTAGGACAACTACTGCTGCTTACGGTTCGCCATGTTTACGCTAGACGCTCCCTTGCTTCTTAGGCCTCGCAGCTTGAAGCTAGTACCTTCGCGTGTACTCCGGCCTACCTCACAGTCACAGTCGTTTCGGAAATTTTCGCTTGGACTACCATCGTTGTCTATTCGTCCATCAGGCCGTCTAAGCAACCAACGCTCGTTCCGAACTTCGCCCCCTCAGCGCCATTTATCTCGCTCGGAATTCCTCTCACCATGCTCACGAACCCGTTTCCGTCAGATAGGGCTCATTCAGAAGCATGTCACAGCACAGCCTGCTCGCTGCTCGTCCAAGCTTGGCCCATCGGACGACTCTTTCCCCGAGTCCTCTCAAACCCCGGATGATACATTCTCAGGCGACAAGCTTGGCGAAACACAAGCAGATTCGCCAATCGGCAAGCTGTCCAATCCGAACGAGTCCAACTCCAAGGGTCGTCAACCAGATGATTCCAGCGACGCATCCGTGAGCAAATACCTCGCCAAGGAGCCTGAACCTGAGGCAAATCCGTCAGATGAATCCGACGAGCCATCCTCGCGGCCCAGCAGCTTGTCAGACCGCGCCAAGGAGCGCTTGCAACGGATAGAAGAAGCAGCCGCTGCCGCGAAATCCGGAAGCGATCCTTTCAAGGGAATGGTGGCCGTGGCAGCCCAACGGCTGCAAGACTATTTCGATAAGACGAGCCTGGTCGGGGGTGCAGGGGGGTTTGGTCAGGAAGCGGTTGGATTGAGGGGTGAGGAGGTGGAGGGGGATGATGGGAGCGGGGAGACGGCGTGGCAACGGTGGGAGAGGGTGTTTGGAGAGGTGGAGGAGCGAGAAGCCATGCTGACGAGTCTGCAGGTGGGGACAGGAAACACGCTAAGATTGATTCGTTTTTCGACCCTTCTCTCCTGCTCTCCTCTCCTCTCCTCTCCTTCTCTCACACCCCTCTCCTGCTCTCCTGCTATTCGCTTGCTCTCGTGCTGGCACGCACTCTCGTTCTCGTGTTCTCGCCCTGTGGGTGACTCACCTACCTTCCTCTGTCTGCGCAGTTCCAACTGGACGACCTGGTGGGCGACGAGGACTTCGCTGCAGCCTTTTGAATCAAGACGTTCTCTGTCTTCCTCGCCACCCTCATGGACTCACCCGCACTACACCCCTCTGTCTGTGCAGTTTCAACTGGACGACCTGGTGGGAGACGAGGACTTCACGGCAGCCGCCAAGCTGCAGGCCGCCATCCGCGCGGTGGAGGACCAAGACGCCATGGCTGCCGTTTTCAGAGAGCTCAAGGTGCCAACACATGGCTGTTTCTCCTATCCTCGCTGACCTCCCTGTCCCGTTTTCATGCCCTGCTTCCTGCCCGGCTTTCCTGCCTCGTTTTCCCCGTGCCTTTCCCCTCTCTCCACTCATTCGCGTTCCCCTGCCTGGTTCCCCTCTGACCTCCCTGCTCTCTCTCGCCCCTCTGCGCCTGGCAAGCAGGCGGCAGTGGCGGAGGAGAGGTACGGCGATGCCAAACACCTTCGCGACGATGCTGGGGCTGGCCTGGTGAGTGCGAGCAGCACATGTGACCTGGGAGGGAAAGAACCCAGGCTGGTCTGTTATCAGGGCAAGGATCACGGATCAAACGAGGGCAAGCAGTTCATAGACTGCCTGAAAGACATCGTCAGATGCCAAGGCAAAGACGAAGAAGATTGCATGTTTGAGACGTCTCAGAAGATGCCAAGGCAAAGACGAAGAAGATTGCATGTTTGAGACGTCTCAGAAGATGCCAAGGCAAAGACGAAGAAGATTGCATGTTTGAGACGTCTCAGAAGATGCCAAGGCAAAGACGAAGAAGATTGCATGTTTGAGACGTCTCAGAAGATGCCAAGGCAAAGACGAAGAAGATTGCATGTTTGAGACGTCTCAGAAGATGCCAAGGCAAAGACGAAGAAGATTGCATGTTTGAGACGTCTCAGAAGATGCCAAGGCAAAGACGAAGAAGATTGCATGTTTGAGACGTCTCAGAAGATGCCAAGGTAAAGACGAAGAAGATTGCATTTTTGAGACGTCTCAGAAGATGCCAAGGCAAAGACGAAGAAGATTGCATGTTTGAGACGTCCTCAGAAGATGCCAAGGCAAAGACGAAGAAGATTGCATGTTTGAGACGTCTCAGAAGATGCCAAGGCAAAGACGAAGAAGATTGCATGTTTGAGACGTCTCAGAAGGTGCCAAGGTAAAGACGAAGAAGATTGCATTTTTGAGACGTCTCAGAAGATGCCAAGGCAAGGACGAAGAAGATTGCATGTTTGAGACGTCTCAGAAGATGCCAAGGCAAAGACGAAGAAGATTGCATGTTTGAGACGTCTCAGAAGATGCCAAGGCAAAGACGAAGAAGATTGCATGTTTGAGACGTCTCAGAAGATGCCAAGGCAAAGACGAAGAAGATTGCATGTTTGAGACGTCTCAGAAGATGCCAAGGCAAAGACGAAGAAGATTGCATGTTTGAGACGTCTCAGAAGATGCCAAGGTAAAGACGAAGAAGATTGCATGTTTGAGACGTCTCAGAAGATGCCAAGGCAAAGACGAAGAAGATTGCATGTTTGAGACGTCCTCAGAAGATGCCAAGGCAAAGACGAAGAAGATTGCATGTTTGAGACGTCTCAGAAGGTGCCAAGGTAAAGATGAAGAAGATTGCATTTTTGAGGCGTCTCAGAAGATGCCAAGGCAAAGACGAAGAAGATTGCAGCGCCACCAGGAATGTGATGCGTGAAACGGGGAGCTCGAGGACGTAGATGTGCCATGTGCTGGGCTCATGCTCTCTCTGCATGTGCTGGGCTCATGCTCTCTCTGCATGTGCTGGGCTCATGCCTCTCTCTGCATGTGCTGGGCTCATGCTCTCTCTGCATGTGCTGGGCTCATGCTCTCTCTGCATGTGCTGGGCTCATGCTCTCTCTGCATGTGCTGGGCTCATGCTCTCTCTGCATGTGCCTGGGCTCATGCTCTCTCTGCATGTGCGTGCAGTTGGGGTGGTGGGCGGGCCTGGACGAGAGTGGGGTCAGCAGACCCCTTTGGGCGGCTGGTGCACGTGTCACAGCAGCACGGCAAGCTGCTCGCCAAGTCGTACACTGCCAAGTAAGCCGCCATGCATGACCCCATTACAAAAGGTTGTTCTTGAGAAGCCTCAAAAACAACCTTCCATTCATGTTGCCATGCATGGTTCCGTGACCCGTCGAGGTCAAGAGGGTGAACGTGAGCAGATGGGCACATGGATGGGAAATATTGCCGACGTGCGCTTATGTTCTTGCATCCGCCAGTTCAAGGATTCCCTCCGTACCTTGCACGTTTGTGGTTGTGTCTGTGTGATGTTGGCAGGCAGCTGTCCGTGGCAGGGCAGGGCATTCCCATCTTCGAGGTCTATGTGGCTCGCAATGCCGCCAACCCCAAGCGATACGACCGCCAGGTGCGCGCTATGCTGTTTCGACTGCACATCTATCTTTGGCACCGCAGAAATGTGCATTTCACTTGATGCTGTAAAACGAATGCTACTGTGAGGTGAAGAGCGTGAACCACTACTAGCCTGCATGCATGATTGTGCCGTTTCAACCCAGTTCCTTCTTCCCCCCGGCCCTGTTTCTCTTCTCCACTACCTGTGCAGGCCGTGTACCTCCACCATGAGACAGCCACCATGCAGGCCAAAGGCGCTTCCACCACCACCACAAACCCTCCGCCAAGCACCTCTGCTTCGAACAGCAGCAGCGCTTCCGATGCTGCCCCCTCGTCTTCGTCCCCATCATCATCAACATCCGCGTCCGCAGCCATCCACGTCACCATCCAGCGTGCAAAGGGTTCAGGATGCTGTGTCGTTCAGCTGGGGAAAGAAGCAAACAGCAGAGGAAGGCAAAGTGGGTGGTCCAGGCACAGGGGCAGGAGCAGGGGAGAAGGGAGGCATTTCATCTCAATCCCCTGCAGATCCAGCCTCGGGCCAGACTTCACCTTCACCAGTCCCACCCACCCCTCCTCCCTCTCCCTCCGCTGCCTCCTTCCCTCCCTCCTCCCCTTCCTCTGCCTCCTCTGCCTCCTCTCCCCCCCTCGTCTCTCCCACCCGGCGCCGACGATAGCTTATCGCGGGTCCTCGATTTCTTCCGAGAGCGGCTACCAGACGTGAAGCTGCGGGTCTTCCCGGTGGTGTCCCCTGCTGACGTGGGCAGCGCCAGACGTGTCGGGCGCGGCGGGAACTGCAGATATTCCACGAATAGTAGAGGATGTGGTGAACCGGATAGCGAGGGACAGGGAGTCTGCAGCTGCTGCTGCAGCGGGGGAGGCAGCAGCGTCAGCAGCAGCGGGCGAGGGAGCAAAGGAGGGGGGTTCTGGAAGTGACAGTGATGCAGGTGATGGCGTAGAGGTTGGTGAGGGGCTGAAACGAGCAGATGGAAGCGACGATGCGAGTGAAGGGATTGTTCCAGGCAGGGGTGACACGAGTGAAGGGGAGAGCAGAAAGCAGGGACCCAGTAGTGTGACTCCTGAAGCTGATGGAGGCGTTAGTGAGGCAGTTGAAGTGGGAGAGGCTGCAGCACAGTCTGTACAGGCAGCAGGAGCAGGTACAGGAGCAGGGAGCAGGGTCGGCGGAGCGGACGACCCAAGGCGTGCCAGTCAGCTGCCAGAGCGGGACTTGAGGCGACTGAGGGCGTTCCGAGAGAGAAACGGGATGCTCGGCGAGGGCTCAGGTGATAGTAGGAATTCTAGTGTCAGTGACAGCAGCAACAGCAGCAGCAGCAGCAGCAGCAGCAGCAGCCGAGGAGAATCAGGCAGGAACGAAGATTCAGGTGGGCTGGACAGAGAAGGAAGCAGTGGAGGGCAGGGGGGGAGTTGGTGGTGGGCAGGGAGAAGGCGGGGCGGAGCGGAGCGACGGTGAGGAAGGATCGGAGGATGCAGAGGGGCGGCAGGGCATTGCCGTGCGCGTGGTGGTGGGGGGGGTGTTCCCGGGGGATGGTGCGGGGGAGAGCGTGAGCAAGGTGCCTGCGAGGATAGAGTGGCGAGGCAAGGACGCGTTCGTGCTCACTGTGGAGGACAGCGAGGGTGACGGGGATGCAGCTAGCAGCAGCAGCGGCAGCACGGGAACATCTGCCACTGACCCAGAAGCGTCCCAATCTCCCTCCTCTTCCCCTTCCTCCTCATCGCAGTCAGCAGCGGTGGCGGCAGCGGTGAGTGAGCGGCTGGCGTCAGCAGCAACGAGGGCAGCGGCCAACCTGATGCCGGAGGACGTGGCGAAGCAGCTGTGGGGCGTCGACCGCTTCTCAGGACCCGTAAGACCCTTCCCAACCATATCACCCCTCTCCTGCATTCTATCCTCGCTCCTCCATTCCTCCATCTTTCTGCCGTTTGTGAATTCTGACGTGCGCATTATTCGTCCGGCCTCGGCCCTGTGTGGTTCTCATCATCACCATCCCCATGGCCAGGAGGTGTTCAAGGACAAGGACGTGGCACAGCTGATCTATGCCCTATGCATGCTGTACCTGTTTCCCCTTTATCCGTTGTCCCCTATCCTGCCCTCACCATCACCATCATCTTGCCAGGAGGTGTTCAAGGACAAGGACGTAGCACAGCTGATCCGCACGGCAGTGCAGCACGTGCAGAGGAGGCGCTACACGCTGCCCCGCACCACCGCCTTCACCCGCATCCATGCCGCCGATGCCTCCACCGACCCCTTTGCTGGTACATGCACCTTTTGTTCTGAGCCCATAAGCCTCTCTTTCTGTCTGTAACGTTTTCCTGGGTTCTGAAACGCTCTGGAACTCTCTCCTGCTGCTTCACGGGTTGTTGCGTTTCGGTTTGCACACCCCCACTAAATATTACCCCTGCTTGTCTCTCCCCTTTTCACCACGTACACCCTTAGGATTGTACGTGGGTGCGTATGGTCCGTACACTTCCGAGGCTATTCAGGTCAGGCGTAGGTTCGGCACGTGGGAGGAGCCAGAGGGGGAAGAGCAGGAGAGCCAGGCTGGGAAGGCAGGGGAGAGGGTTGGGGGGAGGAAGAGGCAGGGCGAGCGGGCACTGGTGCCGCCGTTTGAGTACGTGGAGGGGGTGAAGCTCACAGGCGACTTCAATGTGCCTGCTGGGAAGGTAATACTCTTGTGACCATACCTCCGCTGGGACGGGGACTTCAGCTATAGTGCTTAGTTTATTTGGCTGCTATTAGCTTGAAAGTTTATATTCTTTGTTTTTTCTCGAGTTGTGGTGTGACGCTGAGATTTCCTGGTGCTGTTGTGTTGCTGGTCTGTGGTTTGAGCTCTTGCCTGACTAGTGATGTTGGTACTGCTCTACATAAGCGTGGAGTGCGTGTGTTTGCCCGCAGGTGTCTTTTCGAGCTAAGATCGGGCGGCATTGGCAGATGCCGTTCCGAGGGGTGTACCCTGATGAGCTGGGTGTGGTGAGTCACTGCACGCTGCATCCCTTTGTTCACGGGCTGTTCCCTGTGTGGGTTGCTTTTCTCAGGAGCCCACCACGAATTAATCCATCGATTCGAGCATCCAGCTCCTATCTGGCAGCTTATATTTTGTTTTTTTTTGGGCTGTACCAAGTGGGGCAAAGCACCTCTTTTCAGTCTAAATTTGTCTGCGGCATTCAGTGCCTTTACGACATGTGTGCAGAGTCATTTCTTACATACAGGACGCGATTTTTTGCCGTCCTGACGGGCATGCCATAGTGTGTTTTTGTGCCTTGTGTCATTTCAGGTTGCTAGGTACCCTGGCCAGGGTCAGCTGGCAGAGCCAGGTTTCAGAAACCCCCGTTGGGTGGACGGCGAACTGCTTGTTTTCGATGGAAAGGTAACTCGTCTCAATCCTCCCTTCCCCTGCCTCGTACAACTGTGCTTTCATCAAGCCGTACACGCCATGCTCCTTCGATTTCATCCGATCATTCAGACATAATACCCTTGCCCAATGACTGATCCTGATGTTTGTTGATTTGCTTGTTGAACGGCAGGGTTCTCGCCACACAAATGGTGCTGAGCTGGGCTTTGTTTTCTCATTACCTGAGAGGCACTTTCTCATTCTCTTCAACCGTCTGAAGCTTCAAGCTTGAACTGAACATGAAGGTTGGTGCAACATATAGAAATATATAGCATCTACAAAAGTTGTCAGCACAAGTGTACTTTAGGACATCTAATCTGCCACGCGTCTTTGGCTAAGAGATTGAAAGTCCCATCATGACATGGCCGAGCTTTTGTCCACTGCAGCATGGAATGGAAACGTAACGAACTGGCGATGTGGGTGTGCACCGTGGTCTGCCTGGCGAAAAAGCTGGTACAGTCCTAAGGTAATCCAACTTGGAAACGAATGCTGGCGAGCGAGGCAGCCAGCCTCAACCAAACGGAATCGCAAACACGAAAAGCCATTTCTCCACTAATTCCACCATTTGTGAAGCCACAACATAGGAAACACATTAGTTGACCAGGCGCCAGCGAGGGCAAACCCACTGCACCAAACAATTTCATTCTCCAGTTTCGGGTAGGGTTCTTTGTGGCGTGTACGGTAGCTGGCTCCGCTTATTCGAAGGACGACCTTTCTTTGGAACATTGTCATCAGATAGTCTTGTGCACTCGCCGACGTGGCGGCTACAGAGGCTCCAGAGGTAGGCCCAAGGGGCGCGAAGAAGCGACAGCGATCCCCGGAAGTGGTTGAGGTTAAAGACGGAGGCGGAGTCATGGAGCCAGCACGAAAGATAGCAATAGCCGTGGATTTGAGCGATGAAAGCGCTCACGCGGTCAAGTGGGCTGTCAAGAACTACCTGCGACCTTCAGACCATGTGAGTTTTTTGTTCAACGTGTTATCGGGAAAGGACGCAGCACGGAAGCTCGGAAAGATAATGCTCGAGACTCGAATTGATGGGTAATCTGACGTAAAAAAAAAAGAGCTAGCGTCATACCACCGGGAAATATATAAAAGTATGGACTGTTCTGCCTCGCATCGCTGGTCTGTGAACTGGCGTTGTGTTGTTTATCAGGTGGTGCTGTTACATGTTCGTCCCACCTCCGTGTTATATGGTGCGGATTGGGGTGCATCGGAAACAACAGAGGAAGCTCCTGATAAGGAGACGAAGCAGAAAATGGAGGACGATTTCGATGCGCTGACCGTTGCGAAGGCGAAGGATCTTGCCGCTCCATTGGAAGAGGCTGGAATACAGTACAAGACCCACATTGTGAAAGATCATGACATGAAAGAGCGTATCTGCCTTGAGGTATGCTGGATACGAGTGCTTCACGCGTTTCAACACATCACAGATTGCATGTCGCTAAAACTGGTTGATACTATCTGTGCAGCTATTTGCATTTGCTTGCACGGCTCGAATGTCAGTGCAACTCCTCTTTGGCTGATCACAGGTGGAGCGAGCTGGGGTCAATGCCTGCATCATGGGAAGCCGAGGGTTTGGTGCAGAGAAGCGGTCAAGGAAGGCACGCCTGGGCAGTGTCAGTGACTACTGTGTCCACCACTGTAAGTCCTGCAATCCTTTATTTCCTGGTTCTACGATTGCTCATATTATCTGCAGACCGTTTCAGGTAAATGCTTTCAAATCTTTGTGTTTCAGGTGACTGCCCTGTTGTGGTTGTTCGAATGCATGAGGATAAGAAGGAAGATGAAGCGCCAGCGGCAACATGAGGTTACTTTGGTCCTTTCTGCCGTACTGGCATGACGGAGGATCTTTCTTTTTCCCAGAAGCATGGGTATGCGGGCATTTTAACTGATCGTGGCTCCATTCGTGCCTGTTTACTTTACCCTAATTAACACCCCTACGGTGTTGGCATCGCAATGCCCGCTTGCAGATTCGTAGCCAATTGACAGCGTTAATTTTGTTAAAGAAATCTAGTTTAGCTCAACTTGACAGCATAATGGCCTGAATCAGGTTATTTCTGTTATTGCTAACGTAGTATTTATCCTGGGTGTACAACTATTTGTGCTGAATCTGAAAGCGCCTAAGTGACGTCACGAATACGGTGCTTTTCTGGCGATGTGGCAAGTGTTTCGCCTTTCCATTTGCGCTCTTGTCAACCACAAATTTCCCCTTCTAGTCACCCTCGCCTCACTCCTGCGATTTGTGCACCTTGTCTGGGGAACGACACAGTTCTCTTGAGTGAGCTGTGAGAAACGATCTTACTTTCCACATACAGGGTAGTTTTTTACGTGCTCTTAGCTTTTCCGTGAATCAGCTGGCGAAGACCATGTCGGAAGAGAGCGCTTCGAGGCGTCTCTGCGCTCTCAAAGACGTGAATGTCAGTTTTGTGGTCACGGACCCTAAACAGCAGGACAATCCCATAGTATATGTCAGCGATGCCTTTCTCGAACTAACGGGTTACACCCGTAAGGAGGTGCTTGGACGAAATTGCAGATTCCTTCAGGGTCCGGGGACTGATAGGGGAGCAGTTGTGAAGATACGTGATGCTATTAGGTCGGTGACAGGGTTGTCGTATCTTATTATCCTTCCAGATTCTGACACCTGCCGTCTTCCATATTCTGACACCTGCCCTCCGGAAATTATTCGTTTGTGCAGGAATGAAGTGTCATGCCAGGTTCAGATTTTGAACTATACGAAGAACGGTACTCCATTCTGGAACCTTTTCCACATAACTCCTGTTCATATGGGTCCGAAACATGTGCTCGAGCATTACATTGGCGTGCAGACTTGTTTGCCTGCTCGGTTTGAAGCTTCTGAGGAGGCCACAACAACATTGGCTTCTGGACAGAGCCCATCTCTTGTCGATGCAGGTGCTGGTCTTGCACAAATCGGCCAAAATGGTGCGCAGTCTGGTTGCTGATAAATTCATTTTGTGACTAACTCGTATGCCCGTCGCGCTAGGATAGTGTTGCCTAGCTTCCATCAGGCTTGCAATTGCTACCTAGCTCGCGGTATTCCACAATTATGAAAATTGAGAAGTGGGTCCAATCTGAAGAATGGACTGTTAACGCCAGCTACCTCGTTTGTTCTGTATGCGGCATTGCAGATGATGGCCCGCGTTTTCAAGAATATGAGTCGCTTGCTCGCCTATCAGCCGAGCTTGCTTCGAATAAGTGGGCCTCTTTTTGTGAGCTCCTTCAGAGCTCGTTACCCGCTCAGAGAAATGCAGGTCCTGAGACTGCAGGCACTTCGGTTGACACGGTTCCTCAGCTTCCAGGAACGCTTCAGACATCGCTGGCAAGAATCCATCAATGCATTGTACTGTGAGTTGGCCTTCTCTGCATCAGGTGCATTCGTTTCCGTATTTGGCTTTGTCAGCTTACAAGTGGAAATTGTGCAGGGTAGATGCCACAAACTCAGAGTATCCCATCGTGTATGCAAGCAAGCCCTTCTTAAGAATGACAGGTGCAGAACATGCAACTCAAGATTCCAAAAACTTGCTCGTATACCTATATTGCTAACAGACAAGTATGTTTGCCAGGTTATTCTTGGCAAGAAGTGGTGGGAAAAAACTGTCGCTTCCTTCAAGGTCCAGAGACTAACCCGGACCATGTCCAACAGGTACGGTAATGCACTTGTATATTGTACACCTTGGTGATACGTGCGCATGCTGCTTGCATTTCTTTTGCAACGTGCATGATCCAATGCTGCCATGGACTTTGTGCGTGACAGCTTCGGGAGGCCATACATGGGAGCAGGTCATGTTCTGTAAATATCCTCAATTACAGGTAAGTACTTGATTCTGGAAGGGCGCTGCAGTTTTTCCTTGGTGGGTGATTGTTTGCTCATGAGTTACCGCACTTTCAAACCCTGTGCAGAAGGGATGGTTCGAAGTTCTGGAACCTACTACATGTATCGCCAGTCAGGTCCTTTGATGGAAAAGTAGGTTACATTGTGGCCCACCTTCCATGCATCTACCGGTATGGTCCGTGCAACTTATGATAACTAACTTGGTGCTTTGGTCTTGCAGATTCACTTCTATTGTGGTGTCCTGATGGAAGTCTCAACAGGCGTGCAGTCACCTATTCCCACATATGCTTCTCAGCAGCAGCTTGGTGTTGTTGGTGAAGTTAGGATTGCAGTAAGAAGTCTACCATACAAAAACAAATAGCCATCATGTGCAACTCTTGTTCTATCAGTGCAGTACAATGGTGGGATGATAGAATCCTGGGAGAAGCAGAACTAGGGTATACATCTGCAGCCTTGAAAGGTACATGTACGTACCAATGTCGCTAGGTACAGTAACGTACAATGTTATAGCGTTTTCCTATTTGGTGGTGCACCTTTCTTGTTTGTTCTTTCCTATTTGTACCCTCGCTCAATATTGAATCTCCCCCTTTTTGGCTAATCTCTCGACCCCTTCCTCTCGTAACTCTCGTTCTACCCTCAACCCAAGTCCTAAGTCAACTTAGGCTTTCAACATTGACTCGCTGGTGCCTCGATATGCTTTGCTTCGCTTGTGCCTTAGTGTTTCGACACGACAGAGGCGCTTAGGACCGATTGTTTCCAACACTCCCCTTCGCTTCTGGAGTGTCGCTGACGTGGCTCTGTCCAGTCAGCAGCATGTAGTTTTCGAACTTCTGCTTTCCGAGCTTCTTGGTCAGGTAGTCAGCTGCCATCTCGGACGTGGGACAATATGACAGCTCGAGCATTCCCTTCTCGATCGCGTCCTTCACGAAGAAATATCGCAGGGCGATGTGTTTCGTCCTGTTAGTGAAGCCGTTCTTGTTGGCGATGCGAATTGCCGATTGGTTGTCGCAGAACAGGGTAAAGTTGGGTAACTCGGCTAACTTCACTTCTTCCAGCAGTTCGCGAAGATAGAGTCCTTCCTTGGTGGCTGAGCAGAGTGCAATATATTCCGCTTCAGCTGACGAGAGAGCAATTAATTCCTGCTTGCTCGATTGCCGAGAGATCGGTCCGATAGGTTCGAGGCGGTAGATGTAGCCGGTGCGGGAGCGCCTATTGTCGGAGTCGCCAGCGTGATCAGCGTCGACGTAGCCGATTAACTTAGTCGGTGTGGTTGCGTTCTTGTAGTAAGTTAGGCCGATCGTTGGGGTGCTGACGAAGTAATGAAGAGCGCGGTCGAGCTCCGCCAGATGTTCTACTTCAAGCTTCTTGAGGTAGGTGGCGAGCTGGCTTGCGGAGTATGAGAGGTCGGGGCGACATGTGACGGCTGCGAAGAGAAGACATCCCAGCTTCTTCTGGTAGTCTCGTATGCCGGCGGGCTTAAGAAGAGCGGAGCTTCCTTTGTCGTTCCCTGCCGTGTATCGGTATGGCGTGGAGATGGCTGTCGGTGTGAGCGTAAAGCGTTTGGCGATAGTGTCAGCATATTTCTCGGCGCTGAGGTAGATCGTGTCCTCCTCTTCTCGGATGTTGAGGCCGAGGTACTGAGTGACGGTAGATGAAACTGTGAGCGTGAGATCTCGATGCAGCTCCCCTTCGAACCAGGTGGTGATGCCGTCAGTTGAGCCGATGTATCGTTTTTTGTGAGCCGGTACATGCCTTGATCGTGCGGTAGTTGCTTGAAGCCGATGCGGATGAGGCGAGCGTGCAGGTACTGTTGCCACAGTCGCGGAGCCTGCTTGATGCCGTAGAGTGACTTGAGTAGCTGGCAGACTTGGTTGGGTTCTCTGTGGGAGCCGTGCGGTAGCTCGACGAAAATTTCTGCATCAACAGGTGCGTAGAGAAACGCGTTCGTGACGTCAATTTGTCGCAGCTTCTTCTTCTTCATGGCGGCGATTGCGAGGAGAATGCGCAGTGAGGTGTGGCGGCTAACTGGAGCGAAAGTTTCAGTGAAGTCTCGTCCGTGTTCTAGGTCGAAGTTGCGTACAACCCAGCGAGATTTAAATTTGTCAATGGTGCCGTCAGCCTTTGTCTTCACACGGAAGACCCACTTCCCGATGAGCACTGCCTTGTTCCGTGCCACGCCGATAGGAACCACTTTCCACGTGTTGCGTTCCTCCTGTGCCTTCAGCTCCTTGTCCATGGCTTCGCGCCATTTTTCCTTATGCTCCCCCCCCAGAGCCTATTGAATTGTCGCATGCTCTTTAGGAATGGCGGTGCCGTGGACTGCGGTGACGAGTCCGAGAATTTGCAGTCCACTCTGTGAGTAGCGGGGAAGATTTGCGTCCTCGGGATAAGCTGCTTCATCTCCCGCTTCTGGATCAGGTATGAAGTTCAGTCCTACTCGTTCTGCTTCGTTGGTGTTGACTGTCGCAGGTGTTACGTAACCGTTGTCGGCGAAATAGTATAAGGTTTCGGCGTTGACACTTTCGCGAGGGTTATCTTCGTCCATGGGAACGTCGACGGAGCAGAACGGAAGAGGTCCGACTTCTTCTGATGCGTTGTCCACATTCTGCTCGTCCTAGTCAGCTTCGTCCGCTGCTGAGGCGAAGGCTCGGTCACCGCGAAAACCACCTGTGTGATCCTGGTTTTTTTGTAGGTTGGCAAGGTATGTCTGGAGCGTGAGTCGTTCGTAGAAAATTACATCATGTGCTGCTACTGTTTCTTTGGAATGGACGTCAAAGATTTTCCACGCGTTGTAGTTCTTTTCGATTCCCAGGTGTAGTCCCCACTGTGCTCGTTGAGAAAATCGGCCCGCTCGTGCTGCTGGGGGTCGGTACTGTACCATGCATCCGAAAATTCGTAACATTTTTGTGCTGCCCTGTTTCCCTGTCCATAGCAGATGCGGTGATGCGTTGTTTGGAAGCCATGATGACGAGAGCAAGTTGTGCAGCATGACGGCGTGGTCCATTGCCGCAAGCCACTAGTGGTTGGGTAGCCGCATGCCACGTAACAGTTTGCGCATGCTGTTCTGCAAGGTCCTGTTCATTCTTTCTGCTACACCTTGCTGGTGATGGGCGTAGGGAAGGGAGATGAGCCGCTTGATTCCCCTTTCCGCCAGGTATTGCTTGAATCACTGAGAGGTGTATTCTCCTCCTCCGTCTGACTGGAAGCTTTTCAGTTTCACGCCCGATTCTCTCTCTGCTACTGGTAGCCAGGCAACGAAGGCTTCGAATGCCATGTCGCGGCTAGGGAGGTTTAGGTGCCAGACGTAACGGGTGGCGGCGTCGATGAAGGTGATTGTATAGTTGTATATTACTTGTCCTGGTTCCCGATTGAACTGGATGTCGCTATACACCTTCTCGAGTGGTGCGTACGCGGGTGCGCTCGGGTTGTGATGAGGCGCGAACGGTCGATGTGGTAAGTCACCTTCAGGGCAGGTGAAGCATGTTCCGCATACTCGTTGAAGTTCTCGTCCGTCGGTCAGTAGGAGTGAGTCCTTGTCGAGTACTCTTGCTCTTATCGTATTGTTTAATACTGTGTTGCTTGGGTGTCCCATCCTTGCATGCCAGGTGCTTTCGTCGGCGCGATGTCCGGGTGATCGTCGGTACATATCGGAGTTGGAGTAGAAGTTGGCGGTGAAGTTGGCGCTACGATGAACTTCTCGTGGTGCTGGGTGTAGTTATTGCGCGGGTGTCGGTGGTGTGTCGTCGATAAGTAGCGGTGTCGTTGAAGGACCAGCAATTGGTGTTGACGTTCATGCTGCTGCCGTTGATGGTTCTGCTACTGCCGATGTTGTCTCTGCTGCTGCCGATGTTGTCTCTGCTGCTGCCGATGTTGTCTCTGCTGCTGCCGATGTTGTCTCTGCTGCTGCCGGTGTTGTCTCTGCTGCTGCTGATGTTGTCTCTGCTGCTGCTGATGTTGTCTGAATTGTTGCTAACGCCCTTGTTCTTTCTGCTTTGGGGATGGTGTGCGAATACCAGAAGCCTTCTGGATTGAAGTCTGGATCAAGGTCTGGAGGGTGTGTCCAGTTGGTGAAGTTAACGATGGCTTCGCTGTCAGCGGTGCCAAGATCAGGAACGAAGTCAAGAACGAAGACGTTGTTCTTGAGGACCGCCTTGCCGATGTAGAGTCCTCCTCTCCCGTGATACAGCTTGAATTCTTGGGTGGTGCTGTCTGCTTCGAGGTGAATCCCTTTCGCCATTAGCTGATTGACGCTCAGTAAGTTGTAGCCGAGTCCCTCTGCGATTAGTACTTTTGACATCTGCTGTATAACGTTTGTTTCCCTTGACTGAAGTTGAACTACGCCTTGTCGTCGTGTTCGCAGGTTCTGATTGTTGGCGACTGTAATGACAACTTCGCGTTGAAGTTGGTGTTCTCGTTGAACGAAGCATCCCGAGGAGCACATGTGCTGTCCGCAGCAACTGTCCAAGAACCATGTGTCCCTTCCGGATGATTCGCTTTGGGCGATGGCGGCGTATGTCGGGTTCGGCTGAAGTGACTCGCGGCGGGGTGTGGTTTCATCGAGTTGTTCTTCCGGTGAGTAGTGTGGTGGTGACTCGGTGATGCAGGAGTCACTTAGCTTTGCCATGCAGCTGACGATGTTTCTTGCTCCTTGTGCAGGTTGTCCTGTTGAGGTCGTTGAGGCTTGAATCTCAGTCGTGGGATTTGCTTGCGTTGAGGCGATTTGGCTGCTTGAAGGTCGAAGTTGCCGCTGTGGAGTTGTTGACTGTTGACAATTCGGGCAGTGCGTACGCGGGTGTCCTGAAGTTTTGCAGATGTGGCAGAAGAGAGGTACTGGCTTCGGTTGTTGCTGCCGGTTGTTATTGTTGTTGTTGTAGCGTCGCTGAGTGTGGAACGCGAATTCCGGTGCTGATGTCTTCTTTTTGTGTCGTTCTTCTTACAGGTCCATGTCTTGCTGCTCGGCGTGGATTTCGGCGCAGAGCACTGCTTCGGAGATTCTTCCATGAGCTTGGAGAATGGCCTTAGTGGCGCGCCATTGAGGACCGAGGTCACCAATGATGACTGTCACGAAGGCGTCTTCAGAAATCGACCCTCCGCATCGAAGAAGCTTGTCGCGCAACTCGCGACATCGACTG